AGCTTTTTTCTTTTTGCTTATGTGGTGCTGAGGAATTGAACCCAGGGCCTCATGCATGCAAGGCAAGCGCTCTACCACTGAGCCACCTTCCCAGCCCGTTCTGTGTATTTCCTAAAGGTCATACTTGTATCTGATTTTTTTAAGCTTAGCAGTAGTCTTAATTTAGATCTATGCTGTCCGCATCAATAGCTACTAGCCCTATGTGTAAATGTAAGTAATTTACATTATGTAAAATGAGTTAAAATTATATTTATTTCAGTGACACAAACAACATTGTAACTGATGATTAATCACATTCAGCCTAATGGTTTTTATTCCAATATGAGCCATTTTTTTTTATCATTGCATGTTTTTATCATTCCACAACATGGGTCTGGAAATAATCAAACACCAAATTGGTAAAGAGCAGGATTTCAATTCTTTGAAATTCGACATGGAATTTGTAGATTGTTGCTTGGGGGTATAGTCTATGATATCTTCTCTCTACCTCCATCCCTATTTTTTTTTTCAACTCTAAATTGAAATTACAAACATTTCTTTGAGATCAGAAAATTCAACTTGCTATACTTGGGAATTGGTTGTAATTTTGAAATAATTAGGATAATTTTTAGTTTTACTAAATTGAAGTTAGTAAATCTTCTAAGCACTTAACTTTTTAAATGTTGAATTGAGTGTTTAACGAGGAAGCTATTAACTTCTATTGTAGCAGCATGTTTTTAACTGTTTTACCTTAATAAATGTGCTCTGGGTTGTGTTTTAAAATAATGTCCTTTAGATTGAATATGACATTTAATGAACAGAAGGGCTTGGGTTTATCAGTAGTCATTTAGAAGGAAAAGGTCTTATTAGGTATTTCTCATACCGTAACTGTCTTGTACTGAACTTCAACTTTTCAGTTGTTTTGCCATAACTGCTAAAATGATACTTTATTAGTGATTACTTTTAAAATTAAACTCATGTCTTAAGCTATAAAGTGACTTGAGTACATTGTAAATAGAGTGCTATAATTATGAAGTATTTTAATTATAGTCCCTAGTGTGAACATAGAACTCAGTAAAATTTTTACTTAATTCTGTGTTCAAAATTTTCCTCTATGTTGTTTGAGTGTAAGTAAAAAAAGGGAGGAAGAGGGAACTAGCATTAAAAGTCATTTGAACAAATTCCATGGCTGTTCTCCTAGTTATATGTTTTCACTGCATTTGCAGCAAGCTAATTGCTTCTGCTAATAAATAATCTAAAATCGATGCTGACAGCAGTTAATTGGCACAGAGATTTTATTCTGTAAAGCTCTTGGCTAACGACCTTCTTTAAATTAATAGCATTAAGTGCTATGAGGAAATAAATCTCAGAAATTGCCTGTCATTTGCTTGTCATGTCTAATAACTTCCAATAATGATGGCTGATAGATTTTTGCACATTCCATTATTGAAGTTGGTGCATGTAATTATTCTCCTCATTATATGTAAACAATTAACAATATTTGGTATTTCCTTGTAGCAAAGCTGTTAAATACAAGTAACATATTAGAGGTTAGAAGCCATTTAAAAAATCTGAATTTTAATTATCTGATTGTAGGGAGTCCTTCTATCAATATATATGTTCTAAATAAAATAAGAGGAGAGCTAACCCTTTGTATTTTTAAATATTAATACTTTAATACTTTTTGAATAGGACTTGTAAGTAAGTTTGTGTTTTAAAAAGTGACAATTTATGGAAATAAATTTATGTTTGTAGCTTGAAGAAGTCATGGAAAAGGAAACTTATAAAACAGCTAAATTAATTCTTGAAAGGTTTGATCCAGACTCCAAGAAAGCAAAGGTAAGCCTGTTATGACTATTGTTTTTATTATAGCTTACACATTGTAATAGACCATTATAATTTAAACATTATTGTAATTGACAGGATTTTGAGCCACCATCTGCTGGAGCAGCTGTAACTGCAAGACCTGGACAAGGTAAATAACTTTGTAGAAACTGCTGCTGCTGTTGGAAAGATCCATTTTTACCCAAGTGAGTTCATGAGTGTGTTGATGGTGTGTAAAAACTTAGGTAGAATGCTTCTGTATTAATTTATACTTGGTAATTTGAGATATGACTTAGGGTAGATGAAATTTTGATTTTATGGGAATATACTGGTAAGTTAGGATATTAAATGTCTATTGATATTAAAATATATAACTGGTTTTAATCTCTTGAAATTTAAATAATTATAACAATATTTGTAATATTTTTCCCTGTGAAGTAATAATTTCTTGGGTTATTTGCTATGAAAGTCTATAATTTTATGATTTATTTTTGGCAACATAATTTCTATCAAATTGATAGAAATTTTGAAATGAGAAGAAAATAATTAAATTACTTCTATGTAGTAATACATTTGAAGTTTTATTACCATATTATTATTTGTCAATATTATGTCAGAAATACCATATAAAATTTTAGAAGTCAATTTCAGTCATTACACAAATATTTCCAAGACTGGCATGTGAATAAATAGTACTTTTTCAGTTTGTGTTGGTTTTCATCTTGTTGCAATATACAATATAGTACTTAAACAAATTAAATTCCATTCTTATGATTCATTAGAATTATAGCCTGGTTTGTAAAGTTACAATGACATTTTGATTTTTGAAATGTAAATCTTTTTATAAGTATTCACATGATCATGGATATGAAATAAGCCATAATTTAAGATTTTCTAATTGGCATGGCTGTGTGGGAAGAATTCCATCCTTTTAATCTTCCAAAAGGATTTAAATTTTTTTATTATGGAAATACCGTACAGAGGAGTTAAAATTACATGTGCAAGATAATGAGTACATTTCTTATCAAGCATTGTTGCTTCCTCCTTTGTTTCCCTTTCCTATCCCTTCCCATATCCCCTCCCCCCCCAAAGTCGTTTTTCCACATAATGACTTGTACATCTCATTGTTGCAGTGGGTACACCTGTATCCCTATTCAAACAATTTGTTTTTTCCCTTCCCCTCCACAAATACAGCGAAAGCAGAGGTTATATCATGGGGGTCTTCCAAAAGGATTTTAGCTTCTGGAAATACTTTCTTTTTAGACTGTTCTTTGAATAAAAAATTACATGATTAAAATAAATTACGTATATCTGCTTGTGGGGAAATCCCTATTTTCATAATCCGTAAATTTTCCACAATTTTTACTTTTCTCAAGCAGGTATTTAAGAAAGTGTTTTAGTCCGTAGACTAAGAATGATGAGTGAAATGAAGATTTTTCCAAGGGTACAAAGATTCAGTTATAGATGTGAATGTAACTTGTAGAGATCTAAGATATAGCTTGGTGACTAAGGCTAATAATACAATAGATGCTAGACTCTATTTTTTGGGTCAATGATAGAGCTTGAACTCAGAGTCTGAGCACTGTGTCTGAGCTCCCTTTGCTTAAGGCTAATGTTCTGCCACTTGGAGACACAGCTCCACTTCTGGTTTCCTGGTGGTTAATTGGAGACAGAGTTTCATGGATGATTTGCCTGGGCTGGCTTCAAACCATGATCCTCAGATCTCAGCTTCTTGAGTAGCTAGGATTACAGGTGTGAGCCTGTAAATATGTCTAAATAAATGGCTAAAATAGACTTGTTATCCACTAATATATAGTTCCAAGGAGACTACTACTAAGGAAAAGCTATAAATGATGTGTAGAGCTCACTACTATATTTTGAGGTAATTAATTCATCTTCCTTATAATGCTGCCCAACTTATGCTAAAGACATGTTGCCTTTCAACTAGTGTAAAATTTTTATTTTATTACTTAAATTGATTCTGTGCCTTTTTGGGTGCCATTTGCTTTTTGGGAGGCATATTTTGACAAAATTAAGGGCAGGGAAACACTCAGCAGATCAAATGAGCACTTGAAGCTGACTGAGGGCTTCTTTTAATCAGCTGAGTTGTGTAATATGTGCATAGAAATTAAAAAAATTGTTTTTGAAATGTTTGCATTTGTTTATTATTACTTGATCACTTTGGTCAAAACTGTATGTGGTAAATTTGTGAATAGATAAATGTATGCTTGGTTTGTCCCTAAGTACAAGAAAAAAGGTAGGAATTTTACAGTGATACTTTGATTAAAAATAACCTAATGAATATGTTTTAAAAAATGTTCTCCTTTGCAGAAAACTGTTGCTGTTACTTAAAAAAATCTGCACTAAAAAAGAGAACAGTTTTGTGTTTCTTTTACTAATATTCCTAAATATTACTACTTAGTGTTTAGGCATCATAATTTATCTTAAAAAATCTGAACTTACTGCTCTTAGGAACCCAAATTAATTTTTTTCTTTTGATTTTATACCATCAATATAGAAAAGACTACTGTTTGTTTCTGCTTTGGATTCTTGTCTTTTATAACTAATATTAGTTATAAAAATAGATATTGACTAATGTACAGGCACACTAGTAAATAAATGAATATAAAATGCTTTTTGGCCTTAAGTAATTTTTTAAAATTTGCTGATTTTTTTTATTAAAAGAACATTTCTTCTGAACTGGGTACTAATGACTTACAACTATCTTAACTACTTGAGAGTTTTGAGATCTGAAGATAACAGTTTAAAGCCAGCCCTGACAGACAAATCTGAGAAAACATCTCCAGTTAACTATCAAAAAGCCTGAACTGGAGGTATAGTTCAAGTGGTAGAGTAGTAGCCATGAGCAAAATAATGGAGTGCGAATTTGAGGCCCTGAGTTCAAACCCCAATACACACACACACATACACCCCCCAAAAAACCCAAAATTTTTTGTGAGTATATTGTCCTAGGATTCCTTATTCTTCCAAGAGTATAGTGTAATTCATTGGTGTTTTGAATTTTTCTTTAAAAAATTTCTGAATTTTATCCCAATTTTATTCTACTTTGGGGATGATAAACTAGTGATGTTTAACTCTGTTCAATATCTTTATTTCCTTTCATTTTTGTAGGTGACTCAATCATTGATTGTTTTAGTTTTGGGTTTCTGTTCGAAGTCTATAACTTTGCTGAACTGTGTTAGCTGTATAGTATCTATCTCCTCTCAAATTCCCTTTTTCCTTAATTTTGTGTTTTAAGATTAACTTTCTGAGCTTAGCAGAAAGTGGAAAAAAGTTCTAAAATATGTATGTATGTGCATATGATAGCCCTTGAAAAGCTCTGTTCTCAAAATGAATATAATTGTGGTATCTTCATATACTAGCTGTCTTATAGATTGTTGAAGTAGACTGTCATTTATGTATAGTAGACATCATTCTTTTTTTTCTTTTTGTTTTTTTTTTTTGTGCTAGTCCTGGGGTTTGGATGCTTGGGCACTGTCCCTGAGCTTTTTTGTTCAAGGCTAGTACTTTGCTACTTGAGCAACAGCTCAGTTTCTGACTTCTTTGGTAGCTAATTGGAGATAAAAGTCTCATGGGCTTTCCTGCCCTCAGTGGCTTCAAATTGGAGTCCTCAGATCTTAGCCTCCTGAGTAGCTAGGATTACAGGTATGAACCACTGGTAACCTGGAGTTTTAGTTTTGCATTACTGAGTGGTTAATATAAATGTATAATAATTTATACTGTGCTTTGATTGATGATATGTTTTGAAGATAAGTCTTGATTTTCTATGATTAAGCACCCATTTATAAATGTTTGCTTAAGGTTTTACTTATGTTTACTGGACAATAAACTCATCTATCCTGAATTCTCCTTCTTCCTCAAGCAGGGAGTTACAGATTTATAGACCAATTGCAAAGATAATACAGATTTCCCATTGCCAAACAAATACAGAGTTCCCTATTAATTAATATCTTATATTAATATATCCTATTAATTTATACACTAAGGTGCTACATTTGTTGCAATATGTACTTTATTGTTAACCAAGTCTGTAGTTTATTATTTCCTTCGTTTTTGGTTAATGTCCCTTTTGTGTTCTAGGATTCACCTGGATGTCATATTACATTTAGTTGTCCTGCCTTAAATTTCAAGGTGTTTTTGATTCAGTATATTTGCCCTTTTTTTTAAAAGTTGGTCAATGGTAATTTGTTTTCTTTTTCCTTTTTAAAATTATATTTAAGTAGTTGCACAAAGGAGTTGCCTTTTTTAATATTGAAAATTTTATTATTGGTGCTTAGGTTTAGAAAATCAGGAATCCTGTTTTATATGAAGGAATAAACAAACATGAAAAGTAGGTATCCTAAGCAGGCACAAGTAGTTTATATCTGTATTTCTAGATACTTAGGAGACTGAAAAGTCTGAAGCAGAAAAGTCTGAAGCTCCATCTCCAAAATAATCATCAAAAAAGTTAGACTGGATGTGTGGCTCAAGTGGTAAAGTAGCAACTGTGAATAAGCAGGCCCTGTGTGTGTGTGTACAGATTAATATTAGTTATTTGCTGCTTAGATACAGTTTAACACAAGTCTAATCATTAGGAATTATCTAGGTTACTTAATTTTTAGCAATTTAGAGGTCCTTGGTGAAAAGAATAGCTTTAGTAGAGGGATAAGGGCAAAAGTCTGACAACAAATGGAGAGAGTAAAAAAGTATAAGACAATGAGAAAAAATAAATTTTAGGAAATGGAGTGAATAAATGGGTGGCTATAGAGGGAAACATTTTGTGTACATTTGCAAACATAATATATGAGAGAACTAATAGTATGTTGTGTGTCAATAGAAATGGCCTAGCAGACATGAAATAGCTTATAATATAGGAGACAGTGGGGACAATTAATTGAGACCTGGTCATAACTAGCTAAGAGGGATGTGATTTAGTTTTCAAGTTAAAAAGTTGGCTTTTGTTAAAAGTGTGACATTTTCTTTAGTAACAAGGCAGACTGAGAACATGGTCAGATATAGGCAGAGAGTGGGAATTATCTTCTGATTATATCCAATTTCATAGTGAAGGTGAGATTGAGGGAGATGTAGTTGGAAATTTGAAGAATGGGTGTGAAATAATCCTTCAGGCAAATGAAAGAATAAACAGATTAT